CCTGGCTGACATCTGATCCTTTGATTCTGGAACACTTGTTATATTCGCTTCATGCTTTGTGCCTCATTTTATGAGCCCTCCTCCGACTACTCAACGGGGAAATTTTCGCAAAACACGACCCTAACTACCACTTCGCCGATTTGGTTTCACCTTGCTACCACCGCCCATGGCCATTTAGGAGTTTTTTTCAAAGTTTTATGGTTTTTTCGGTGAGGGGGGAGGGATGGCCGGGGTATACAACACACTTCACTGAAGCGGGGAAAACCAAGAAAAGTCAACAACTGTAAACAATTTTCTCAAAGACAGATAGGACTTCACCCCCCCCCCTCCAGCGATCAACTATGACCCACCCCGAATCCCCATTCTCCGAAGTCTCATGCGTCACAAAGGTACTGTGATCATTCCCGCAGGCGTAGTAATAATGGAACCTAAAGTTACTATGTCGTTGGGTGCTCGAATGCTATCCCTGGGATTTCGAGGTCCATAGGCGTCACTGCATATCCCGCTTTTCACCTACATCGAAGGATGCGCCATGCCTTCCGCTACTATTCAGGACACTAGTTTCATTAGAATGTGATTTGTCCTTAGCCACTGATTTGTGGGGGTTGTATGTAGGAGATGCACCCTTCAGGGCCTTTGTCCTTCTAGACCAATTGAAGAGCTCTTTCCTGTTCCCCCATCCGACAGGAGGCCTGATTACCCTGAGCCTTCTTCTTTGCGGAACTTGGCACCCTGACTGCGCAAGCAAAAATGTGCCATGTGCCGCTATCCCTCCCCTGCCTAACTCACAGTTCATCATTCGCATGACAAATCAAATTTCCACTGTTTCTATAGTCTCTTGCGTCTTCTAACGGGGAAATTTTGTGTGAAATTCTGCTCCTGTGTCTCCTCTGCTCCTTTCGTTTGACTCTTTTTCCTGCTCCTATGACTTCCTGGTTCAATGTCTCCCTGAATTGAACACCCGGTTTGCTGAATATGTCCTCTTCAAAAAGTTGAACGACCTTGATAGCGTGCATTTATTGTCGCTCGCTGAACGTCGCTGGCTGATAAAGATTGAATAGCCACGTGCGCACCAGTTTCTCAGTATCTTCAAAACCTCGAGAGATGAAATTATGGTTTTAGCGAACCGACCAATACCGTAGTGCAGTAGTAATAAATACAGTATTATTCAAAAGAGTGAACGTCAACATCTTTTGCCTGAATCGCCCTTCAATCCGTAATTCATTTAAAATTCTTCCAGGAACTCGCCTATACTGCCCACCGGAGTGGTTCCTGCACTCACTTTATCTTGGTCGCGAGGCAGCCGTATGGTCGTTGGGAGTGCTGCTCTACAATGCCTTGAACGGTCGATTACCTTTTCGAAATGAAAAGGACATCTGTACAGCTCATCTCCTCGGACCACTACCGTTCTTCACTACCGTGTCCTCAGGTGAGCTCATATACAGCCTACGTCCAATTCAGAGGTTTATCAGGAAACAAAGGACATCATTGAGCGAACAGTCGTTGAAACCGATAGAGTTGCCAAACTAGAAGAACAGAGAAATTTGGCGAAAAGTTGGTGCAACAACAAAAGGGGCATTTTAAACTGACGGGCGTCGCCCCAGAAATACCTTAACAATGTGGTCAAATGTTCCCTGACGTCGGAGGCAATTGTGATCTTGTCTTTGTCTGGCACACGACCGGACGGCAGTAGTGTGAAATGGAAGCATCCCTCGTAAAAGCTTCCTCAAACCATGCTTGTATGAAGTATGAAGCCATCAATCAATCTCTGTGGATATGGGGTTTGCAAGGGTGAATTCAGCGAAACGTACTTCGAAATGAGAGTAAACCCTGAAATTTTTTCTGCGCAAAATGGAGGGTCGCTAGAGTATCCGGCCTCTCTTTTTCCTCACTTAATATTATGCTGTGAGAGCCGATCACCTTATACAAGGACAATGAATGTGGGAGCAGTACTAGCCAGCAAAATGGATGCGCTGTGAAACGTGAATAAAGTCTTCAATTCTGCATGAGAGGAATTTTTTTTCTTTTCAATGATTGCAAACCTCCTTCTTTCACCGTCATCTCAACATGACTTTTGAATTCCCTCTTTCCTCGACAGTTGGTTACAGTAAGCCCCGTTCCCTTGCCAACCTTACACTAGTTATCTGGCAAACATAGGCGGACAGGTTTTGCCCGCGAAAGAACCCCCCGCCCGTCTCCGTCTATTGGGAAATTCGCCACAACACTAAACGGTTGTGAACCCAGTATAACGCTTACTCATTAACGAAACTGCCCCGCAGCGAATAACCCTGGAGGCATTTTGGATTCGGGTCACGGATCCAAAAATGAACCGCAGGGGAGAATGCGTGTCAATCACGCGCGAGCTAACCCCCTATATAAGGTTAGCCTTCCCGCAGGACCCTGGATACGATCACGGCCGACAAAGCACCACAACGTCGAACGGGCTGATCTCGTGATCTCAAAGGTACGGTATTTGGTTTTTCCCTATTAATTATGGGATGGTCTAGTGGGTCTCGAAGGTCTCGTGGGTGGTATGACATTTGATCGTATAAATCATAAATTGGTTTCCACTTCCAGGCTCCGAAGAAGGCAATCGTGCCGAAACGTTAGCCTACTACTGTGCTTAACAACCTCGTGTGAAGTTTGAAGACAAATAAATATTTAACTACTATGCGTTGGCTGACGTTGTTGACTGGCGTTGGCTTTTGGAACCGGTCATTGTTCACTCCCTTCTTTGTGAAGCCAGTTTCCACCCCTCTGTTACGCAAATGCCATTACCACCGTCAGATTTTAGAATGCTTGGGAGTTGAACTGGACCACCCAGCTATAACTTCAACAGCGACAATTTTCTGTTGTATGATAACTCCACCACTGAATCTCCCTGAAAGCACTAGGCTGCTAGATGGACTCAGATGGAGATGGTGCTCTGAGCGTAACGGCTCAATCTCATCCTCACCACGAGTGCCGTTGTTGTGGGAGTCAGCTGCCTCTAATTCCACTCCGACACCGTCAACCAGGTCAGGAAATCCCGGAACTAGCATCCCGGCCCTAACCAACCCCTTCCTTGCCTTCAAGTCAATTGGTAAAGGACTCGTTCTGGAGGATAACAATACTGTCTTGAACATACTGGCTCCGCAGGTCATCCTGCAGCCATATCGCATTGAAGGTGCCCCTAAGAATGTGACTAGAATGCATCAGGTAGGGTTGATTAGCGGTTGAACCTTGTCCATTTCATCATTTCACAACTGAGCCACCAGCATAGCTTAAGAGCGTCAAAATCCCACCCAATCCCCACTCATCAATTGACTTTTTCTCTTGATCGGACCATCACCTTGCGTTAGCATTAACCTTCTCATCTTTACTCCTTCATACTCATGACCTTTAAAGTTCTGCGATCACGGTCTACGTACTTTTTCTGCGTAATGAATAGCGGCCATCTACTTAAGAGACATTACGTGAAGAGAGACAAGGACTTGCGGTTAAACAGCGGTTACGGTAGCAGCGGCACCTACGTAGTCGACCAAGAAAGATCAAAGTCGTCAACCAGTCAATCTAGATTCCAAGTCGCTTACGCGTCTGCATATACGCATGCGCCACGCTCCCTACACGTTTTATCATCAGCGTCTACTTGGGCAACACGGACCCAGCATGGGAGCACAGGATGTCTGGGTCTCCGCTTAGGAGACACAGCGCTGATGCTG